AAAAAATAAAACACACACACACCCTTGTCAATGTTGCCATCTGGCTTAGTCTTTGCCATTTCTTATAACATATATTATCAGCTAACATATATTATCAGTCACAAGTTGCCATGGCCTGTAAAATGAGGAATATAGTTTCACAGCCAAAAATTAGAAGACAGCAAATCAGATGCTTCCTGTATAAGAAGTCAACACATCATGGTTTTTACATGCTCTGCCTCCTATTGCCTTGGGTGTCACAGGTTATAGTTGTGTCAATGACCTTTGAGGCAGACTCAGGCAATGGTGATGAAATATTGCCTAACTTAACTTCATACTTTACAGTATGAATGCAATCTTCTAATAATAAACAATGCAGTACCATGTATAAACTTGCATGTACTCACCAATAACATTCTCACAACTACAAGTGTCTGTACCATTTTCCTTTTTTATCTGTGCAAGATAGAACAGTAAGTCAATTGTTTCCTATCTGAGATGGCAAAGAAAGAGATATTTACTTATCTTCTTCCATATGCTTACATCATCAGGGTTAAAAATATGTCCAAACTGAATATAACACTAGCAAAACACATGCAATATGTACATTGTATCAACTTGGAAGCAGAAAAGAATCCTTCCTTTGTAAGCCATGTGTGTCAAAGAAGTGACTAAAATACAGAGAGCAAGAGGCTAGTAACCCCTTCCGTATAAATTACTAAAAGTAAAAAGAAAAATATTTTTGTTTCTTTTTTTTACGGGTCACCCTGCCTGCGTGGGAAACAGCCGGTGTGATAACAAAAAACATGTTTATTGTGTATCACTTTCGTGGTTCATTTGTGATATTCTGTGGTAATTAATAAGTGTCTGTGAATAAAACCTAGCACAGGTAGTTAACATACTGTATTATCCTCTATCAGAGTAAAAAATCTCAGGGAAAAGTTTAATGTCAATACTGTATTGTTTTGATTTGAAATAAAATGCACAACATATAATTCTCAGTGAAAGTTTATAAGGCTGTATGACAGACAAGAAATTAATGAAATAATTGCTTGAGGATTCTGCATAGTGAGGGTTGAGGTGGAAAGGGAGAAAGCAGGAAGTGGGGAGCAGGCATGCAAGAGGGTTGATAGGAGCACAGCAGGGAAAGGATGTAAGTGCTAGATGGATGAGAAGGGAGGGAAAGATGAAATGCAAGATCTGTAGAAGGATGGCATGGGAGGAGGCACATGAAAAGGTGGGTGGAAGGTGGCGATGGAGGGATGGAAGTTGGGGCTGGTGGAATGAAAGAGGTGGGGTGAGGTGATGAGGCAAGGAAGAAGATGAAGAGTGGAGTACTGGCTACCATAATTATCTACATGTATATACCTAGGTGAACAGGAGTAAGTGTAAAGAGACTTGCCATATACCTTCCCAGACATTTATGATAAAAGTCTCTTAATGCTTGCTGCTCTTTCTCATTCAGTAATAAAAAGGTATCTGGGTGTCAGTAGGCAGTTATGAATTACATCCTAAGGAAGAAGACTAATGGACTCCAACAGAGAAAAAAAATGTTATTGCTTAACTTTCTTTGGTTATTAAATTTTTGGCTTTCTTGGATTATTAACCCCTTGGCTTTACTGCACTATTAAATCTTTGGAGATAAAAACCCAACCAAACAATGGCAACTTTATATATGCTTTATGGCAAAGGAGAGGAGACGACATGGCGAGTCCAGGAAGTTGTTGGCAGCTTAACCTAGCTTTGTAGGCGAGTGTTAAAGAAGTCTGTGAGTGCAGAACGCAAATGACAGCTGGGAATATTGTAACTCTCTTCGGCCTTAGGGGTGTTGCAACCTTCTAACCCATCATGTGGTGATATTTTGAGTACTATATTTTTTATGTTTTTTGTTTTTCTTTTTGGGTCACCCTGCCTTGGTGGGATGTGGCAGGTGCATTAAAAAAAAAATTATTATTTATTATTTATTTATTATCACACTGGCCAATTCCCACCAAGGCAGGGTGGCCCGAAAAAGAAAAACTTTCACCATCATTCACTCCATCACTGTCTTGCCAGAAGGGTGCTTTACACTACAGTTTTTAAACTGCAACATTAACACCCCTCCTTCAGAGTGCAGGCACTGTACTTCCCATCTCCAGGACTCAAGTCCGGCCTGCCGGTTTCCCTGAACCCCTTCATAAATGTTACTTTGCTCACACTCCAACAGCACGTCAAGTATTAAAAACCATTTGTCTCCATTCACTCCTTCAAACACGCTCACGCATGCCCGCTGGAAGTCCAAGCCCCTCGCACACAAAACCTCCTTTACCCCCTCCCTCCAACCTTTCCTAGGCTGACCCCTACCCCGCCTTCCTTCCACTACAGACTGATACACTCTTGAAGTCATTCTGTTTCGCTCCATTCTCTCTACATGTCCGAACCACCTCAACAACCCTTCCTCAGCCCTCTGGACAACAGTTTTGGTAAATCCCACACCTCCTCCTAACTTCCGAACTACGAATTCTCTGCATTATATTCACACCACACATTGCCCTCAGACATGACATCTCCACTGCCTCCAGCCTTCTCCTTGCTGCAACATTCATCACCCAATGCTTCACACCCATATAAGAGCGTTGGTAAAACTATACTCTCGTACATTCCCCTCTTTGCCTCCAAGGACAAAGTTCTTTGTCTCCACAGACTCCTAAGTGCACCACTCACTCTTTTCCCCTCATCAATTCTATGATTCGTCTCATCTTTCATAGACCCATCCGCTGACACGTCCACTCCCAAATATCTGAATACATTCACCTCCTCCATACTCTCTCCCTCCAATCTGATATCCAATCTTTCATCACCTAATCTTTTTGTTATCCTCATAACCTTACTCTTTCCTGTATTCACTTTTAATTTTCTTAATATAATTTTTATAATTTTCGTGTGGCGGGTGGTCATAAGATGGGGAGCATAACTGTGCCTATTTATTTTGCAAAAATGCCCATATTATGGTCAATAATACATGGTAATTTATCCATTGTTGTTATATCAGTATGCTAAGTAAATGCCCACACAATGACAGAAGTCTTTTATTTCTTATTAGCTTCTCATTATGTGGTAACACCAAGCATTTTCTACAATCTTTAAAATAGTGTATGTATATGCTTCAGTGTGTTTGATGGAAAGATGAAAATCATATAAATTATACAAGGAGATATCCATATTTTAGCTATCTTGCCACACTGAGAAAATGTGATCTACGTTTTTTTTTTTTTCAACAAGTCGGCCGTCTCCCACCGAGGCAGGGTGACCCACAAAGAAAAAAAATCCCCAAAAAGAAAATACTTTCATCATCATTCAACACTTTCACCTCACTCACACATAATCACTGTTTTTGCAGAGGTGCTCAGAACACAACAGTTTAGAAGCATATACGTATAAAGATACACAACATATCCCTCCAAACTGCTAATATCCCAAAACCCCTCCTTTAGAGTGCAGGCATTGTACTTCCCATTTCCAGGATCTCACACTGACGTAGGGTGACCCAAGAAAAAGAGGTAACACATTCACTGCCAGTCATTCAATCACTGTCTTGCCAGGTGAGCACTGGCATCACAGTTCAGATGACCCTCTGAACGAAACAGCTATATGCCTCCTTCAAAGTGCAGGAACTGTACTTCCCGTCTTCAGTACTCATATCCGGCAAACTTATTTACCCAATTCCCTTTGTGAATGTCACCTTGCTTACATTCCCACAGCACATTGTCATAAAAAAACACTTATCTCCACTCACTCCAATCAATGTGCTCACACAAGCCTGTTGGATGTTCAAGCCCCTGGTGCACTCAAAACCTCCTTATCCTCTCCCTCCAATGCTTCCTGAGATGACCCCCCTAACCTTCCTTCCAACCCAGATTTATATACTGTACTCCCTTAGTATCCTATTCTCCTCCATCCTTTCTAAATGCCAAAATGCCCTCAACAATCTCTCCTTATACCTGTGAATTATTCTTTTGGTAACCCCACACTGTCTTCTAATCCTTATGCTCCAAATTCTCTACATAATATTCCCACCACACTTTGCCTGGAAGTAATGTGAAGTAATAATTCAGTTTAAAGCATTCCATAAACAAATTAGGCTTAAGATGACTGCCCATTGTAAAACTGTAGGTTGTCCTGAAAAGTGCACTATTACTGAAGAGACACTGTCAGAAACAAACAATCTCACTAATTTGATAAATATGCTTACTAATACTAGTAGATCAAGATTAAGGTTCAGCAAGACCCTACTAAGAAAGTTTACTGTTTCATCAACAGGAAACTTAGTAAAGAGTGCATAACTATTAAAACTAATGTGTTTCTCAAAACAAACTCAAACTTTTTAATTGTTCAATGAAGTTTTGACTGTTAGTTATAAGAGAATTAGAAATTAGACCAGCAACAAAGTATTTCTATCACGTGGAAGGACAGTAGTCTAGGGTACTGTACTGGAAGAATCTGCTCAGACAAAACAATACAGTGTCTGCTCCCATAATGAAACCAAAAAAGAAATGATGTCTTACAAATAACAAGATAAGTCAAACACTGATGGCCCACTGATAAATCCTGAATGTGAAATCATAAAACACTTCAAATCATTAAAGCATCTTTTAATTTACTGAGTAATGTATAACACACCCAAATCATTTTCTATGATTTCATTTTCACTGCATGATGAGTTCATCTAATGGCTTCCTGTTGTAATGAATATAGACTTTTTCACAGAGCTATCCTGAACCCTCTGCACAACTAATTTTATATGTGAATGTTATTATTTTAATCACTGAGGTCTTATAATAACTTTTAAAGTAATAAACTTGGCAGTACTTTAACTACTGATGGCATGCATGTTAACAGTACTGAGCGAGTGTCAATAAAATAAATTTATTGGAAATATCCCTCACGAAGTCTAAATGCTTTCATACTGACAAAATGTATAACAGTCATAACATGAGGCTGAAATATCCCTATGATATCACTGCTGAACTACAATATATCACCTTGTCATTGTAGGCAGTAGGAATGTTAGGGGTGACGTGTGCAGCGATGCCCCCACAAACACTGCCAATTGTGGTAGGTGGGCGTGGCGGGGGAATGGGAACCTGCGTGGGGAGTGAGTCTTGGTAAGAGCTAACTCAGGCTACCTCAACTACTTGCTACACTGCTTGAGTGAACATACTAAAAGCAAGCCATTTTGGACTAATCTGCTATGTCATGTTTCAACAATGTGTGCATTTTATATATACAGTAAAAGCTTATGTACAGTACTCTATATACAATTTTAAATGCTGCTCATATAAAAATGTATTTGTGAAGATGAAAGGAAGAGTACACTGGCAGACCTCACTTATTCAGTTGTTAAATAATCAGCCCTCACAAATCAACAATACTGATCAAATAACAGGTACCCAATGTGTTTAACCATATGCTTTAAATGGCACATGCAGAAAAATTAAAATAACTATTAGCCAAATAATGCAATTTTTTAGAATTATAATAATTACTCAAAATATAAACAACATGACATAACTAAAATTGCAGTGGAAAACAAAGATTAAAGAAAGCAATACTACTACGATAGGAAGCCACAGTCCATGGTACTGACACAAATTCATGCAGTAATTTTTAAGCACCAAAAAGAATATTTTTGTAAGTGGTCTATATCAACATTCCATGAACATAAAAGGAACTTAGAATATAACAAATGTACATGTATGATTTTTAAAAATTAATTATTACTTATGATTCAAAAATGCATCATTATTTTTTCATGTGAGGAACCTTAATTCAGATGTTAATATTAGAGCCTCACTCAGTAGTTTGTAACTCATTCTCAAACTTAAAATTATACTTCAAAGTTGACTTTTTTCTAGTTTCTCCAACCAGGAAATACAGCATCAGCATACCTGCTAAAGATGATTAGTACCAATGGGACAAATAGAGAGAATATGTTTCACATTTTAAAATATAGTAGTAAAAATTAAGTGTTATTTCTAAGATGATTTTGTTGAATACCCATGGTTTACCTGTTACTATTGCTGAGAATTTTCTCAACTCTCTCAGTCAGACTACCTTGGTGTCTGCTTGATCAGCCATTTTTTTTTATTTTTAACATGTCGGCCATTTCCCAACGAGGCAGAGTGACCCAAAAGAAAGAAAAAACTTTCATCATCATTCAACACTTTCACCATCACTCGTACATAATCACTGTCTTTGCAGAGGTGCTCAGATACAACAGCTTAGACATCCCTCCAAACTACCAATATCCCAAACTCCTCCTTTAAAGTGCAGGCACTGTACTTCCCATTTCCAGGACTCAAGTCCGGCTAACCGGTTTCCCTGAATCCCTTCACAAAATATTATCCTGCTCACTCTCCAACAACTCATCAGGTCCCCAAAATTATTTGTTTCCATTCACTCCTATCTAACATGCTCACACATCCCTGCTGCATGTCCAGGCCCTTTGCACACAAAACCTCTTTTACCCCTCCTTCCATCCTTTCCTAGGATAACCCATACCCCTCCTCCTGTCCACTACAGATTTATACACCCTCCAAGTCATTTTATTTTGCTCCATTCTCTAAATGACCAAACCACCTCAATAACATCTCTTCAGCCCTCTGAATAATACTTTTTGTAACTCCACACTTCCTCCTAATTTCCACACTACAAATTCTCTGCAACATTACTTAAATTATATGAATACATTTAAAAGAGGCACTGAGACAGTGATAGTGTGAATGATGATGAAAGTGTTTCTTTTTTTGGGCAACCCTGCCTCAGTGGAAGACGGCCAGCATGTTAAAAAAAAAAACACACATATATACAGCCTCTCCTCACCTAACAACAGAGTTCTGTTCCTAAGACCACGTCAGTAAATGAATGCATCCCTAAGTGAGAAGCATACTATAATGGTAGTGGGTTTGTGTCAACCATCTTTGATATTGTTTTAATGTCACCTTTGCTCCATTTATAACATTTCTGGTATATTTTTAAATGTTGATACAGTAGTGTACTGTATATTGTAATCAACAGAATAGAGAAAATCAGCTCTAATATACATTATTTAGGTATGCATAATGGTCAGAGAGCCCGTCATAAGTCCAAGTTGTCAGTAAACAAGTACATCGCTAAGTGAGGAGAGGATGTATATACATGCCCTTTTCAACCTATTATTATACTAGTCTCTTAAAAGTTCCATTCATTCTATGAGATGTTCCTCTTGAGCTTTGAATTAATTGTTTCCATATCTAAGCAATTTGAATTTGTTATTATCAAACATATTATTTTCTACTGTCCACTAAATATAGCTCACATTTGCTGGTAAATTTTACTGAGGCTATTTTCACATTTATTTTGGTATCATCTACAATGGATGAAATAAAGTTAGTGATGTGTGCTGTGCACACATTATTACCTTTTAAGCTGTGCACACCTACAGCACAGACCTGTTTTCTCTGATGTAGGCCAAACCAAGCCAACTGAGATCATTTTGAAGGCTCTAGAATTTTGGCATAAATTTATGTCATCAGTGGTCTCCTGACTAGCATAAATTTACATCATCGGCAGCTTAAAGGTTAAGGGTACTCAGGCCACATTCCATGGAATGTCTGATAGCTCATTATTACTTTTGTAACAGTCAATTTTCCGATTGTTAAGGTTAAATATATTACACATCATCATGTTGATTATTTCTTAAGTTCTCTAGGCATGAATTTATGCTTATTTATACTTCAATGAGGTTGTCATCAGTGTGTACTGTATCTGAGAATGGTATGCATCTGATTAGTTCTTCACTGTTTGTGAAAACCAAATCTACTGTATTTTCATTCCTAATAGGTTCTTTTTACCTGCTTCTGCTGAGCACTCCGGCAAAACTTTCTTAAATCTATCCAAAACCTCATCCTCCTCCTTTCTACTAAGAGTTGCTCACATCTACTATCTCCTTTGGTTCATTCATTTTCACTTCTCTCTTACCAACTGATGCTATTCTCCTTGTACTTCATCTCTTTTACTGTAGCAACAACTAAATAATGAAGATCTGACATATGAGACACATACAGAGGTCTACCAACCAACCTTTTATTCACTAATACCTAATCTAGCAAACTGATGTCATTAAGACAACATCATATTTCATAAACTTTTCTTTCTTTTTCATCAAACCAGCCATATCCCACCAAGGCAGGGTGACCTAAAAAGAAAAATGAAAGTTTCTCTTTTTAACTTTAGTAATGTATACAGGAGAAGGGGTTACTAACCCCTTGCTCCCGGCATTTTAGTCGCCTCTTACGACACGCATGGCTTACAGAGGAAGAATTCTGTTCCACTTCCCCATGGAGGTAAGAGAAAATAAACCAGAACAAGAACTAGTAAGAAAATAGAAGAAAACCCAGAGGGGTGTGTGTATATATATGCCTGTACATGCAAGTGTAGTGTGACCTAAGTGTAAGTAGAAGTAGCAAGATGTACCTGAAATCTTGCAAGTTTATGAGACAGAAAAAAAGACACCAGCAATCCTACCATCATGTAAAACAATTATAGGCTTCCGTTTTACACTCGGCAGGACTGTAGTACCTCCCTGGGCGGTTGCTGTCTATCAACCTACTACTTAGGATAAACTTATTTATCCTTATTTATTTTAAGTATTATCTATTATCAAACCTCTTTATATGCAATAATTTAATGAAAGGCTGCTATTATCATTGCAAACATGGCGTTTACTCAGAGACTGTACCTACTCTGCCCTCTACAACAGTACTATCACTTTCATTTTAAGTCACTCAAAATAATTTTATCTATTAACTCAAAGTCTCCCTCTTATCATTTCATCAAACTTATACTCTGCCTAACAAATCCATATCTCTTAGATTATCTCAACTCTTATTCTCAATAACTCAAATCTCCTTACATCTCAGTCTCAAACTCTACTCTCAGTCTCAATCTCTCAGTCTCATTCTCTCTCTCAATCTCTCTCTCTCAATCTCTCTCTACTTCAAATCTCTCCTTCTCTCAATCACTCTCTCTCTCATCTCTCTCTCTCAATCTCCTCTCTTACACTCTCTCAATCTTCAATCTCTCTCTCTCGTCTCAATCTCTCTCTCTCTCAATCTCAATCTCTCAATCTCTCTCTCCTCAATCTCTCTCTCTCCAATCTCTCTCTCTCTCAATCTCTCTCTCTCTCAATCTCTCCTCTCTCCTCTCAATCCTCTCTCATCTCTCATCTCTACTCCAAATCTCTCTCTCTCAATCTCCTCTCTCTCTCAATCTCTCTCTCTCTTCAAATCTCTCTCTCTCAATCTCTCTCTCTCTCAATCTCATCTCTCTCTCAATCTCCCTCCTCTCTCTCTCAATCTCTCTCTCTCTCCTCTAATCTCTCTCTCTCCTCTCACCTCTCTCAATCTCTCAATCTCTCTCTCTCCAATCTCAATTCTCTCTCAATCTCTCTTCTCTCACTCTCTCTCTCTCTCTCTCTCTCTCTCCTCTCTCTCAACTCTCTCTCTCTCCTCTCAATCTCTCTCTCTCTCTCTCTCTTTCTCTTCCTCTCTCTCTCTCTCTCTCTCTCTCACACTCCTCTGGAAAGAAAGGAAGTAGAGGATATAAACATTTAAATTCAAGAATTATGTGTATTATAGTAAAAGTGATATGTGAGTAGTGGGTTACAATAAGTGTTTATGCATTTATAACCCACTACTCACATACAGTGGAACCTCAGTTTTTGTGATTAATCCGTTCTAAAAAGTCTGACGAAAACTGAATCGTACAAACGCTGAAGCAATATTTCCCATAAGAAATAATGTAAATCCAATTAATCCGTTCCAGACACCCACAAATATTAACAAAAAATAGTCTTACATACGGAAAACAATGAGAAATAAATATAAATGACTAATGAAATGGATAAATGAACATTTTAACATCACTTTTACCTTTACTGAAGACTCTTGTTGGTGTACAGAAGATGGTGAGGAGATGGGAGGGAGGTGGAGAGGTTATTTGTTTGGAAGTGGAATCCCTTCCATAAGGACTTCAGGTATCAAGGCCCTATCCAGGGTTACTTCCCTTCTTTGTCTTTTACTGGCACTAGGACCAGCTTGAGAGTCACTGTACCCCTGTCGCACAAAAAATCTGTCCAGAGAGGTTGTTTCTGGCATATCTTTAAGATTTGCCTAAAATGGGACAAGGCATTGTCATTGAACATGTTGCAGACACGGCTTGCAACAGTTTTGTTCGGGTGATATTTCTACACAAAACTTTGCAACTCATGTCCTTAATCATTGAAGAAGGCACATTCTCCCCCTCTCTTCCTCCTCCTCTGAAGCAATTTCCTCAGCTGCGGTCTGTTGCTGCTCCACTTGAAGGTCCTCCAGCTCTTCAGTGGTTAGCTCTTCCCTGTGGTTGTCCACCAACTCTTCCACATCCTGGCCACTCACATCCAACCCTATGGACTTCCCCAAAGACACAAACTCCACAATAGGCACAGGGTCGTCAGGGTCAGCCTCAAACTTTTGAAAATCTATCTCGAGGACACATTCTGGCCACAATTTTCTCAAAGCACAGTTCATCGTCCTGGAAGTCACTCCCTCCTAAGCCTTTTCTTTAAGGCTTTTGCAAATGAGAATATTGAAGTGATTTCTCCAGAACTCTCTTAGGGTCAATTCAGTGTCTGAGGTCACTTCAAAGCACCTTTGAATTAGTGCTTTGGTGTAGAGTTTTTTGAAGTTTGAAATGACCTGCTGGCCCATGAGCTGGATGAGAGGAGTGGTATTAGGGGGCAAGAACTTCACTGTGATGAAACTAAACTCCTCCAACAATTGGTCTTCTAAGTCTGGAGGATGAGCAGGAGCACTGTCCATTACCAGGAGGCACTTGAGCAAAAACTGATTTTCCAGAAGGTATTTCTTCACACTTGGGCCAAACACTTCATTGAACCACTCAATGAAATTCTGCCTTGTGATCCATGGCTCAATGTTAGCCTTCCACATCACACACAATTTACTCTTGATGACATTGTTTTTCTTGAACACTCAGGGATTTTCAGAGTGATACACAAGTAAAGACTTCACTTTGAAATCCCCACTAGCATTACCACAGAACAAAAGAGTTAGCCTATCCTTCATAGGCTTGTATCCTGGCAGTGCCTTTTCCTCCTGCGTGATGTAGGTCCTCTTTGGCATTTTTTTCCCAAAAAGGGCCTTTTTTTTGTCAAAAGTAAAAACCTGTTGGGGGAGGAATTTTCAGCCTCTACTACTCCTTAAATTTTCTAAATGAATCTTCAGCCCCACATTTGCCCAAATTTTGCAGCCTGCCATGCCATATCAAGTGTTGCCAATTTGCTTCTTAATTTATTAAACCCACCCTCGGGCCTTAAATTCATACCTTCAGCTCTTTTCCAGGCTTTTTTCCTTGGAGATCCACATGCAACTCCCTTGCCTTTTTGCAAATTACACCCCCAAAAAACATATCCCCAAAAATGTTTTTCTTTGATCCACCCCAAACAACAACTCTCACTTTCGATTTTTTGTGATCTCTGTTTTTAGCATTTACCCTTTTGCAACTTAGTTTCCCTTGATTTCCTTTTTCTTTCCCAGGATGGAACTGATTTTGAGTGGACTTCCCGTACATCCCGGCGAGATCGCCACACGAACGCCACTCTCGTACTTTGCTACGAGTTTTTTCAATTTTATCGTGTTCTCGCCTTTCTTTATAAAAGGGCCGGCACTCGGGAACTTTCTCTTTGGCCCCTGATGGCTTATTTAGCAGTCACACTCAATAAACAGCACAAAAAAAATGGTTATACAAAGTGTTTTTGGGTTGAAGACGGGGGGGATGCCACTCAACGAAAACAAAAAGGGCAGACTGAGCCCCGAAGGCAGGGGTGCTTTGTGTGGGCTCTTAATGACTGAGTCCCCCGATGCTTTGGGACACCATTTTCAACTCTACAAAAAACCCAGCGGTGTACGAAAATGGGACAAAAATTTGACAAAAAAGTCGTCAAAAACCAAAATCCCCACAAAAACTGGGGCAAAAAAAACCAGGTTCCCGTACCCTTTTTCCCTAATCACAAAAAATTGAATTTAAATGCTTTAAACTCCCCCTTTCCCTTTTCCAAAGTGAACATTAATATACCCCATACTTCAGCTCTAGTTCTGAGATAAAATTTTTTTTTCCCCCTTGTTTAAATACACAAGAAAGTATGGGAATTTTTTTTAGAAGGTAAGAAGTTTTAAGATTGACTTGCACCTTGTGTGTTCATGATACAAAGAAAAAAAAAAATATCACAATTCCCGCCCAAGTGCAAAAAATTTAACAAATTTTCCCTTTCAAAAATCATTTGACAGTTTTAAAAGTATAACCTCCTTAGTGGATAGTCTACAAAACCCACCACCTACACAGGCAGTGAAATCAAATTATGTACAATCCTACAAGATTCTGAAACTGGGTAATAGTTACTCTCATGCACTCTCTTGTAAACAACACCCTAATGAATAAATAAGGCAGTAAAAGATTTAGATGAAGCATTCCATTGTTGAAGAGTACAATTACCTTGACAATTTAGTTATTAATGTGTAGCAAAATATGCATCATATTATTACAGCCCTACTCCAAATCAAAATTTTATTACCAACATAAAAACTCATTAAAAATCCATATGGCAACTGACTTGTTAAAGTTCCATCATCAAACTAATGGAGGTTTTTTCTAAGACCTTTTTATTCTTATCAATTTTGCCATAAGTTTCATAGCTTTTTATGAATTTCTGAGAGTGAGTCCAACCAGTGACTGGAATCACCACCTCCTAAGTTCAAAACTAAACTGCTTCACATCTGAATCCTTTATTCCCTTTGAGTAGGAGTTAGGACTCTGATTGGTTACTTAATGATGACAGTGAGTTTCCCTATTGGCTAGAAGCAATATCAATAACTTTATTTGTCCTGACTGGGCTCTGGAACCTTCTAGATGTGGGCTCCTCAAGGGGTCTTGGAACATTAGTAAGAAACCATAATGTATATTACAAGACCTGAATGCATAACACTGGCCACATACATATTTAACATGAACAACCTACTACCATATTAGATCATTGTTTTTTTACATCCTCTGATGCTCTCGTCTGGAAATTAACTACCTTCAGTAATGAACTCATAATATCATAAGTCACACAGCCAAAATGATTTGAAATCAATAAATTTTAGCATCTTGATAGGTAAAAATTACCATCTTCAAGTTACAGGAACAAGACATATTTTGAGTTCATCATCAGGCCTTGACATTTTAATTTACATGTCATTTAATAACTTTTCTAAAACTGAGGATATTATGAGCAGCTCTTAATGCTCATCCTACAAATAATTATGATTCACTTAATGTACTGTATGTGATAAAACTGACCCGAGCAGCATCTTCATCTCCTGGAGAGCGTGATCTACGATGATGACTACTTGGCAAAGCTAACTTGCTGGCATTTATAAAAGGAGCATCAATGGGTAGTCTGGGATCCGATGAAGGTTGTGTTTTACTGGATGAGCAATGAAAGAGCGTGAAACATGAGACATTTCTTTCCTTCACATCAAATTGAATATATTTAATATAGTGAAAAAACTACCAGTCATAATCAGCATGGCAACAGTATCTATATATCAAACAATGCTGAATTTGATCATGACTTCCTGACTTTAATCCTAAAAAGATCATCATCAGATGCTGATAATATATAATCAAATTAGTGTTGCTAAAAATTTATTAATAACTAAGTTTCAGGCTATGTAAATGGGAGTTAGAATACAAGATATCACAGCCTCTCCTCTCAAATGATTATATTACTTTCATTACATTACTCATTCCATCACTTATTCAGCCATCTTGTTACAAATGAGCAAGGACCAGTACTAGAGAGAAAAGAAAGGACAAAGAGGGATTATCAAGCACTGAAGCTACTGATAAAGAAATGAAGACCCCTCTTGATGGAACTTATCATAATTAGCAGGACCAGAAGGTACATCACCAGGAATATTAAGATGACTTGAAATACTATATAAGCCACTTAGAATACAAAGAAATTATTAACAAGTGAAGTGACAAGCAAATGGATGATGGTAAACATAAGAAAATATTTAAAAAAAATGACCGGCAGAAAGCCCTGAACTACTGACCAGTTTCCTTAACACTTGACATGCAAATTGCTAAAAATTATTATAAGAAAGATATTTGTTGAACATCTAAAAAGTACTAAATTTCTCACAGAACACTAATGTGGATTTAGAAATAAAAGTTCATGTTTTACAAACCTTACAGACACACAAGGTCAGTAGTCAGAAAGGAAAAAGAAAGTAGGGTGTAATGTATATTCTGAGACTCCTGATAGTCTTGTAAAACTGTGGGTGAACCTAGAAGTAACTCTCAATGTTATGCAGGGTTCTGCATGACATTGTAATGTTGTTATGCAGGGTTCTGCATTACATTGTAAGGTATATACAGTAGAGAAGGGAGTCATAATAGTAGGAATGTTATAATTGTAAAGTATAATTTTATAATTCATAAGGTGCTTTTGGGGGTACTGTAAAGTAGGTTAAACTATAATTATAAAGAAATCCTGCTAGTCTTTATTTTCCAACGGGTTTTGGGTACGCGGTAAGCGTGCTGGGAGTGAGTCACGGGAGTCGGCATGCATGGAGGCTGGCGATGGAGATGCTGTGTATTTAGCTAAGTTTTTGTAGGTTGTGTACTCCTTTGTTTAGCTAACGTAAGACCATAGGCTCTCATGCTTACTTGTATGCTCACCTAGGCTCTCACATGTCAGGGTGCTGTGGGGATAGTGGAGGAAATAGAAGGGGTTGGGGGTATTGAGTAGTGAAGGCCGGCGGCTGACTAGGACAAGTGTTATGGTTTTACTGGGGGACCGCCAGCCGCCCTTGTGTACCGTCTTTTGGCTTTTAGGATAGAAGATATATAAAGGTGTTTCTAGAGTGTTAGATCTGTTTATGTTGAATAAATAGATATATTTCCTAGCAAGGAGTTTTGCCTCCGCTCTAATAACCAACCCATTGATGTACTAATGCTGGTTTTAAGCACATCTGTTTTGACTGGGATAGCCCTGGGTGGCCTGTTTATGCTTAAAATGAGTGTAACTTTTACCTTTGCCCTTAGACAAGGCTCTAGCCCCCAGCTGTCCCACCTTTTCTGCATAACATGGGGGCCTGTATAAGGGAAATTATAGATTTTATGTGTAATTCAAACTTGCAACCTGAAAGATCAATAATCATTCTTTAGTGGGTTGGTTAGAGGAAGCATTCACTATAACACTCACACTAAAATAATAATTTACCTTTCTGTACAATATTGCTGGTTTTTAGGGTGTTATTATTAACCCTTTCAGGGTTTCGGCCGTACTAGTACAGCTTACGCACCAGGGTTTTTGACATACTAGTACGCATAAATTCCTAGCGCCCCCAAATCTACAAGAGAAAGCTGGTAGGCCTACATATAAAAGAATGGGTCTATGTAGTTAGTGTGCACAGTATAAAAAAAATCCTGCAGCACACAGTGCGTAATGAGAAAAAAAAAAAACTTTGACCGTGTTTTTGGTTTAAAACAGCGACTTTGCACTGTATTTTCGTATGGTATTTATGGCTGTATTCTAGTTTTCCTGGTATTATTTTATAGAATGGAAGACATATTTACAGAAATTGGAGATGATTTTGATTGGTTTCCCAATAAAAGTAACCTTGAAGTTGACTCAAAGTAGCAGAAAGTTCGATTTTTGCCAAAGTCAAAAGTATACAAATCATGCCTAAGCGTCCATTCACGTCAACTGGTGAATCTAATATTCTTTCACAAGTGCGCTGTATTATTTTTATAATACCCATTCTACACTAATTCGTAGTCTGCATAACTTAATATCTTCTGTTTTGTTGTGAAATAGAAAATTCTAAGTGGAAAGCAAATGAAATGTAAGAGGGGGCAGGGATGGGACTATGACGAGGAAATTTATTTTAGTGCAGGAATGTCCTTTCTTGTAGTAGACCCCTATTCGGAAATTGGCATCTTTTGAAATTTTGGTGTGACATTGGCAAAATAGCTAAAATTCTGACCACTTAATTTGATATTTGAAAATCGGTAAATGGGTGGTTTCTTGTACTCATTCGATAGAAAAAATGGAGTTCTAGTGAAAAAGTTATGATTTTTGTCGACTAGTACACTGGAATTGGCCGAAAATAGGGCTCAAAGTGGGCAAAATTGCCGATGCGTAAACATCGTCGAAACCACTAACTTCGCTAGAGCATAATTCTGTAAGTTTTCCATCAAATTTCATACTTTTGGTGTCATTATGACCGGGAAAAGATTCTCTATCTTTTCAAAAGAAAAAATAATTTTTTTTTTTAAATTTTGGCGACCCTGAGAACAAGTCTCTGAGAAGGGCTAAACTGTCCATACTTCCAGTGAGCCAGTGAGCACCTTATGCAACAGTGATTTCACCCAATTTGAGGCCTTTCTTAAGCCAACCCCTGTGCTCAAAGTGGCTATTTTGCTAGTATGCATTCCCTACTATGCAATGATCACATGAAACTGCCCATTCCACCACCAGTGATAAGTGTTGAGAAGTCAGAAATTTTATCAATTTTACACTATTTCAACAAATTCCAATTTAAAATAATTCCAAAACAAGCATTACAAGCATTTCAGCCATTTGACCAACCTTCCCTCAGCTCATTGATCATACCACTAGGTCTCTCCTATATAACATTTGTCATCCATTTTGAATCCATTTTCACACAAAAATTGATGTTTTCCCTATTTTTCAGCTATTTATCCATACCAAGAATACTTGGTCACTGGGCATGCAAAAAAAAAAAAAAAATGAAGTAGTAACCTTTATCGGTCGCATGGTACACTACCCTCAATTACAGGCTATCTTATCTCCCCCAACCAGCGAACAGGTACTGGGAGTTGACGATGAGCCCCCGTCGTGCAACTAGTGATCAGTTCCAGCCAAAAAGAAAAAAAAAAAAGATGGTTTTGGCAATCGCAGAGGGTATGTGGGTACCACTCTCCTGTCTGCCCTTGTCATTCCCATTCTAGAGCTGGTTGAAGCACGGTCTCTTCGTGTGGCTTCTGTTCTGCCTTGCTTACCATGAGTGCGCTATACTTAATCACTGTACATAGTGTACATATAACTGATGAAGGATAATATAATTCAAAACTTTTCTGCTGTGTTTTTATTTTGCTCCCTTAACAACACCCAGGATAACAGTCCATTTGGCTCCATGGGTTGTAATATGGGTTAGCCTGTCCGAGAGCTGGAGCTGGACTTAGAGAAACGGGTTGAGCTTAGGGTGTAGTTAAGCTGGTACAGGGAACATTGTTGGCAGCTTGCTGTCTGGCATTGCATTATAGCTTTTGCCAACGCTTTACAAATTTTGCATGTCAGTTTACTTAGTTTTATGGTCAGCCTTGCTATTGTGTGATCGTCAACAGCTCGCTCCTACTTGTTCGGGTGGTGCTCGCTTCGTTACGTCAATCTTGGAGAACAGTGTGTAGCTGCTGTCTTGGCATTGCTTTAACAAATTTTTGTGTCAGGTGCAGTCACGTTGCTATTGCGTAATCCACCTTGTATGCATATTCTGCAATCGTACTGTGTCATAGCTAAGCGTGTTCTGCAAATTAACAGTGTTACTTGGGGTTATTCTGCAATCGTAACTGTGCTTAGCTATGCTTGTGTCTGGCAAATAACATTACGTTGCTATTCTGCAATCGTAACGTGCATTAGCGAATAACTTATACCACCTAGAACGAGTCAGACGTCTGGTGTCACATAACTTTGCAATAACCTACCTAAATTGTCCCTACAGCATTGTTTGCAAGTTGCTCGTTCCCATTGGCATAAATATAGAAACCGCACGCTCACAGCTGCGCAACTGCGTTGCGACTGATTGCTGACAAACTTCCGAGAAGAAGTATGGCACATTCAGACTTCCTCCCCTCTACGGGAGCTAGGGCAAAAACTACTATGTTTCCGCAGAGGAAATGATTCACCAACGAGCAAAAATGGTCCAGTCTAGTGCAGCAGGGTTGTCTAGAAGGAATCAAGCGGCACTGGCCACTTTGTGCGGGCAAATATCAATCTTTATCAGACAGGGAAACAGAGGAGCATTCGCAAGGGAAGAATTTGACGGAAAGAGAAGAGGAGGCAGTTTTTTCACATTCTATAAATGTTTTTAATGGAAACAGAAAGCTGTACAGCTTGTTTCCCCACTATCAATGAGGCCGAACCAGACAATTTTTTCGAAAGCTCGAAAATCAGGCTGTTCGAGCCTTTGAGGTGGCCGACAGCATGGGCATCATTGGTTCATACAGCATTGTTTTGTAAGGCACCGGAATTACGTCAGTAATAAATGACGCGGAATTTTTCTGATTATCACAAGTAGTAAAGACCACAGGGTTGAGCATATACAGCAATCCCAGCCATATAAAAAAAAAAATATTCAAACTAAGCAGGCAGGCGGCAGCTTGGTCAATCCGGTGGATTTGTGAGACAGCAAACCAAAGCGTTTACCAGCTGTATAAAGCAAGTGGTGTCTCTACCTTTGAGGGAGCTGGTGCAGCTTATTCCTGACTGATAACCTGCTGAGGGTCTGTGGAGGCGGCGGGAGAAGTGTCGGAGGTCTTTAGACTGCAGGGATGCGGTGGCGGATCGTTAGACTCCTTGAGTCTTCCTATAGGGTCGGTCAGTGGTCGTGGAGAATATTGGGGGTAGTGAGAGGAGAAGTGTGGAACTCGAGTGCGCGGATGTGTGGAACGAAGAGAGACGTGACTCGCAGCTCCTTGCCAGCGGTCCTCCGTCTCTCTTTCAACAGCCTGGCATAGCAAATCGTCAACCTGGAGATTGAAGTTGCCAGCCTGAGGGAGAACGGCTACGTCCAGCCAACTAAGTCACCTGGTGAGCCAACGCTTCTCAACTTATGGTCCCTCCTGCTGAGAGACAAACTACTCATCATGGGGCTTCCTCGACAACATTAACCAGAGAAGACCATCCAGAGCGACACCAGTTGAAACTCCGCAGGGAGTAAAGGGCATGCCTGTCCTCTGCGTCCCTGTATTAAGTAGGTTCCACATCCGTCCCAACTGCCCCCATAAACCCCAACCCATTGGAAATCCTAATATCCCTAGTAACAATTCCCCGAGAGAAGCAGAAAAAAGGGTATGGCCCTTATTATTGCAAGAGTCTTATTTCCCTAAGAAAACTCAGAAACAACTGAAGCAAAACCTTTAGAGATACTGGAGCAATATTGCTCACTAAAGTAGAAGGAATATTACCCTTTCACAGAACACTTCCTTGAATTCCCTGTTTTTATTGAAGCATTTGGAGGAGCTATATAATCCTGTCCCTTGCATAAAATTTATGTACATGCAAATATTACACTGGGTAATGACTGTGGTGTCTCAAAAGGATTCCCCCATGAAAAGATGCCATTTTATTACTGGGTAATAACAGTACTACTGTTAGTGCGTGTCTGAACCTATAATGATTAATTCTTCTCCGGTGTTGGCCATAACTCGGAGACATCCCAAGGATTGTCTGGCGAAAATGTTGACCTATCCTTGGACGACTCCGATCTCGGAATAGCCACGTTGTTTTATGAGGCACACCGGCCGGAGCTCGTAAATCACGTGAACAGCCCCGATCAGCCTTCCTATTCCCAGGTGTGGCAGGATTGCCCAGATATATCTGTTTCCATGCCCGAGGGACTGTCCTTCCGGGAGGAACAACGAAAGAACCCTTCTTTAACCCCTTCAGGGTCCAAGGCCAAAATCTGAAGTGGTGCTCCAGTGTCCAAGAAATTTTGAAAAAAAAAAAAATTATTTTTTCTTACAGAAATTATAGAGCATATTTTTGTGAAGGCATAAGACAAAAAAAATAAAGTTTAATGATCATAATTATACCGAGATACAGTGCCAAGAAGTTTGTCAAAAATGATGTGGTGGGCGGTAAAAAACATCGACAATTCCACATACGCGCATTCATTAGTTTGCGGTTTTTATGTTTTTTCATTTATTCTTTCCAATTTTTTTCTATTCCCTACCAACATTTGGGCCTGAGAGACCAATACTTTATATAATGTATTTCCCCCCCTTTTTTTGTGAGGGTCCGTCCCGTAGATCTATGGCTTTACGTTCAGGTCCAAATCCTAGATCTACGTCATGACTCAGCTCACTCTGATAACTGTGAATGGACATTTGGCCGAGATTGGAGAGAATACATCATGTGGTATGGTGTGCACCACATAAAACTGATCCTACAGCACTCTGTGATAATAAGACAAAACTGAAATCATGATTTTTCGATTAAAACACGACTTTGGCAGTGTTTTTCGTATGATTTTTTATAGTTCTATTTGTGATTTCTTGGTCTCATTTGATAGAAATGGAAGAACATATTACAGAAATAGAGATGATTTTAATTGGTTTTCGCACTGAAATGGCTTAAACTAAGCCTCAAGTAGCAGAAATGTTAAATTTTTGCCATATTCAAGAGTAAACAAACGACCTCACACGTCTAATACACGCCAGCTAGTGGGTCTAATATGCAATTCAACAAATATCGGGATATATTTAATAACAATATTACAGTATTGCATAACAGTAAATCTTCTATTTTTTGGTGTGAAGAAAAATACATAGTGGAATAAAAATCAAAATGGAATTTATTGTAAAGCCTCAAAACGTAACTAATTAACAAGGAAATGGTTCGTTTAGTTCCAGGAATACCTACATTTTTTATTCTGGTCCCTATTTTGAAATGGAATTTCTGAACTTTGTGTTAAATTGGGCCAAATTAACAATTTTCCGAGCACTTTAATTTGTAGTTGAAAACAGTTGACTTGCGATTTCTTGTTGCTCAATCGATAGAATAGAAGTAATACTAGTGGAAATACTAAGAATTTGTTGACTGGATAATTAATTGGGCCTAAAATGGGAGTCAAAGGTCGGCAAAATCGGCCGATACCCCCCCTCGTAAATATCGCTGACACATCAAAATTCGCGAGAGCATATTTCGTCAATTTTCCATCAAATTTCGTACTTTTTGTTTTATTACCTTCACAAAAAGATTCTCTAACCATTTCATAAGAAAAATAACAAATTTTTTTTTGGAAAATTCTTGGACATGGTCACCACTTCAGATTTGGGCCTTGGACCCTGAAGGGGTTTAAATATAAACCACTGTATTCAACACAATAATCCAGCACTAAAGTTATTATCATATTATTGTTTACCACTGTTGTTATTACAATAAACATGCCACAAATATTGTAAATACAAATGTTCTATCATATATTTACATATTTACAATCACTATGACATGGTTTTTTAGAACTGCTGGAGCTTGTGGAACTCCCTTAAACAAGGCCCATGCACAAAGGCACCTTAACATTCCTCACACATAAACCGAGTGACTTTGCGTCATTGTTGCCGTCGTTTTGGTTGTGCACAGACGATGCATCTCTTCTGAGCAATTTCTTCTGTGTTTGAAGGATAGTTGTATTATGAAATGATCACCTTCCCTCCTTCAAACGCCTAGGGTATATCCTTGAGGAATTCGAGGAACTTGTTGTATAGCAGGTGTCTTACCTGGTACTTCATTATGAGTTTTCTGACAACAAACAAACAAAAGTCACCATACGGTGGTCTGTTGCCAGTCTTTATTTTGGTACCAATTTATATGCATTTAGCATTGAAAGGTCCATGAGATGGAAGAAAAGTTTCATGTACGCACTTGTTAACTCTTACAACACAGTCATCAAAACCGAATCTGCATGTCACTTTTGTAGAGAACCAAGCCATGGTTTGGTTTATAATCAATCACTGTACTGGTTTTCGAATCGTTCATTAGTCACTCGATCATACTTTGTCCACTGTCTTGCATTTTCATTGACGGTGAATGGTTGTCAACATTGTGACATCTCGTTTGGTCATGCCACCGTAATGCCTGATGTCATTGGCAGTAAACACCTGCACGTCATCACCACGACACCTGCGTTGAACCTGGCATATGTTTACAATTAGAACGCACTGAGCCTACTCACATCTGTCGTGTTTCACTCGCATGAAATCACTGAGTAATGGCTTGTGTACCAGTTATCGGTAATATAAGATCTGCCCCTTACCAAATTAGGTGCATCATGTTTTTCTCACTACATCACCTTAGATACCAATAACATCCTGGTATCTTCAATGTTTACTACCCTGTATACAACAATAATCCAAAACCAGGCCACTGTCACAAATCACAGAGTACAAACAGTTTTATACCAAGCGTTCCTCTGCTCGGTATCTACTGCTTGAAAACGGTCGACCTTGAACAAAATCAAAACTCGTCATTACAAGAATCTTGAATGGATTAAAGTATATGCTGAACTTTTTGTTTGAGATACATGAAAAACGTTTCGAATTTGTATAACCTGTCCACTTCTGATCAGGCCTGGTTTTGCAGAGAAGTGCAACATACGTAAGAGTAAGATAAACCTGTTCACTGGTTTGATTTCAACTGAAGACCGGGGTAAAATTAGCCGATCTGTGGACCAGTATGCTTTTATATTATGCATAAGACGGAGGCATAAGCATTATTGTTTTGCAAAAGCAAATACATTTCTGCCAACAGTCGTCTCTTTCCCACCTTGTGGTAGTCCTTGACTGTGGTGTAAGATGCGAGTATTGTGCCAATAGTTGTGGACTCAAAAGTACTTATTACTTTCCTGACAATAATTTCCATCAATGGCTGGTCAAAGAATAATTCAAAGAATTCCAGTTCATTAGCCGTGGTCCAAGGGACAAGTAGGTAGATTCCGCTTTGAGAGCATCAAAGTGGGTTTAGGCTGGGAACAAAATGGGATTTTGCTGCCAATCCCACATACGGTTTGCTGTGGATTCTGGACATCATAGGCGGTTGTGCGGGTGGTTTGTGGTTGAGGTGGGCTGGTGATGACGCTCCGCTTTGTCTTGAACTGACGAGTCAGCAGCGTGGGTTCCACATGGCCTTGATTAGTCACGGCATGCGGTGCCACTACCATCACCACTAACACCATTCCACAGATGCCTGTGTCCTATCCATGCCAAGTGTAGCCACATCACCTCACTACACTACCTCAAATCTGGTGTTGGCCACAGGATTGTACTCCGGGATGTACTCCATCCCCTGGGCACAAGCATAGGTACCCTACCTGAGCGCATGCGGCCAAACATACCGATGCTTCACTGGTGAATGTTTATGATTCCCACTATCACTACTCGATTGATCGTCGAGCGCAATAAATCACGTCCACGTCCACTATCATCATCATTACTGAAGTCAGAGGCCGGGCCACGCGAAAATAGTAGTTTTCTCTTGCGATGAGGAACAACGAACCGTGATCCACGAGTGCCCACACCAGAGGAGAAGGTAGAGGATCGTCAGGGTTTGTCTTGCACATTATTGACATCCTGGTCATTCTTTCGGTCACTAACTGATCAAAGCCGTAGAATTGCTTCATTTCCACTTCCATCAGTGTCAGAACTATCAGATAGGAAGAGGAGATTCCAATTTTCTGGGAGTGAGAGCGGACTATGCGACGAGGCATGGTGAACAAGGGTAACTGAGGCCGGCATGTCCCACAATGCTAATCCGGACGCCTAGATTTTTTGTTTATGGCGCACACCCACCACACAGACCCTTCTCTCACTATGTTAGCCTATGAGCATTTTCGCGCTAAATTTGACGGCGCTAGAATTTGGGCGTAGATCTACGGTTTGGACACTCACGTAACAGCCCGTGTGATCTCGGGACGTCCTAAGGTTAATGAGACTCGTGATTATTATTTATATTATTTCTAATATGGTGTCCATTTGTGGCAAGTCCTCTGGCT